GCCGAAACACCTACACGTGGCTTCTCCATGTGGCCTGGGTGCCCCCATGGTATGGCAACTGGTTACGAGGTTGAACATCTGAGAGGGTGTCAGGGGGTCGCTGTATTCTCTCTATGTCCCGGCAGCCTTGTGTTCGTGGCTGCTCCCGTGCTGTACAGGCTGGGGCAGTCATCAATGTGCCCAGACTCAGGTCGAGGGAAAAACAATCTGCTGCATAAATGGAGAGAAATTTTTAAAGAATGATTTAATTTACCTTTATTTATTTATATTTCTTTTAATTGGGTCAGAGAGGGACAGAGTGAGAGAGAGAGAGAGAGAGGAAAGTGAGAAAGCAAGCTGCCAGGTCCAGGACTTGAACCGAGTCAGCCATGTGGGAGTCCAGTGCCCTTAACCACCACGCCACCTGCCGGCTTCAAAAGAGAGATTCTTAAAAACAGATCGTATTAATACATTCCAGGTCCCTATTTAATGTGGGTTTTGGAATGATGTCTCATGATTGGCTCTTTGAGTTAAATTCAAGTTGAAGTCAAGTTTGAATTAGATCAGCTCTTCACTGAGAGTGCTTCAAGGGTCCCAGGAAGACATCCTGAAGACGGTGGCTGGGAGACCTTGATTGCAGTTTGAGCTGGCCCCCTAACCAGCGTGTGACCCTGGGCCCACCACCACCCTCCAGTGGGCCTCGGCCCTCAGCTGGAAGAGGAGGAGCTGGTGGTACAGGAGAGCGTGTGTTGAGTGCGTGTCTCCCCTCCCGGTCAGACGTAGCTCTCGGAGTCTGGAGCCCCCGTGCTTGGGGCCAGTGACCTTCGAGTGCACTGACCGACTGCCGGATCGGGAGTGGGGAGATCCTTTTGCCATGAATGTGGCTACTGTGTGTATTTTGGGACGTTGGGATTTCCCCGTGAGGTTTCTTATTGTGGTGAAGGCAGCTTATTATTTTCATTTTTTAAAAATAATTGCCAGAAGGCATATGCAAGAGAGAGAGGGGAGAGAGAAATGAGAAAGCCTCCCTCTCCCTGGGGATGGTCGAGCTGCAGTCCCTTCTCCGTCTTTCCTTTCTTTCAGGACTGTTGGCACACACACATATGTATCGGGTGTGTTTTGCGAGCTGCCAGGTCTGGGACTTGAATTGCACAATTGCGAATATTGTAGGATACGGTCTCTTTAAGAACAAAACAAAACTTAACATTTCTTCATTTATCTATTTATTTGTTGTGATTTTCAAGCCACCGGGCCTGGGACTTGAACTGTGGTGGCCACGTGGGAATCCAGCACCTTAAACACCACACCACCTTCTGGCCTGGGTGTAGCCTCTTTTATCACCATGCCGGCCTCGGGCCCAGCTCATTGTTTCTTAACCCTGTTTTGCCTTCAGGTTGACATAGAGATCAACGGGGAGTCTGTGGATTTGCACATGAAGCTGGGAGATAATGGAGAAGCATTTTTTGTTCAAGAGGCTGATAATGATCAGGTGAGGAGGGCTGGGTGGCCCAGGGTACTTTTCCTAGTTTGGAGCTTTTTGATGCTCGCCTGTAAACCAGCAGACGTTTGCATGGAGAGGTCATGCTGCCTGGCACCTGGCTGTGTGACCGATGGCCGTTCACAGAGCTGAGGATCCTGTGACCGATGGCCGTTCACAGAGCTGAGGATCCTGTGACCGATGGCCGTTCACAGAGCTGGGGATCTTACCCAACACGCTGACTGTCCTGAGTCCTGCAGGCCCAGCTGTCCTGGCTGCCTCAGTCCCCTCACTGTTTTCAGGGAGACAGTGGGACAGATGCCACACACTGGCCTGTACCATTTGCCCAGAGTGTAAATTACACTGATGCATCAAACTGCAAAATGGCCAAACCTCCCAACTTTTGCTTAGCGGAGGGATCAAATAACTTGTATTTTTTATTACTTAAAAATTTTGGGCCAGCCAGTGGTGTGGTGGTTCAGGCAACTGGATCCCACGTGACTGAATATGCTGTTTTGAGTCTTGGACCCGGCAGCTTGCAAAGCAGGCCAGGTATGTATGCATGCGTGTCCAAAATCCTGAGGAGGGAGAGATGGAGGAGAAGAACTTGTGGCAGGGCCATCTTCCCTGGGTACTTTCTCTCCCTGCCCCATCCCTGGCAGTGCACGTAGTGAAATAAAGACAATTGTTTTTAGCAGCTTTATTGAAATATACTTCACATACTAAATAATTTACCTATTTCACAGGTACGATAAAGTGGTTTTTTAGTATTTTCACCGATCTATACCCCTATCATTAGTCAGTTTTGGAACATTTTCATCACCTCTAAAGGAAACCCTGTACCTGTTAGCTATCATGTGCTTTATCCTCAGCCCCCACCCCCGAGCCCCAAGCAACCACTGGTCTGCTTTGTCGCTGTGGATTTCCCTGTTCTGAACTTTCATGGGAGTGGAATACGTTATGCCTGACTTCTTTCATTAGCATGATGCTTTCAAGTGTCATTCACGTCGTAGCAAGACTTCGTGCCCTTTTTATGGCAGAATAGTATTCCACTGTACCCCTCCGCCATGTTTCGTTTATCCGTTCGTCTGTTAATGGAGACCGGTGCTGATTCAGGTTTTAGCTGGCACGAATACTGCTGCTGCGAACATTGATGTGCAAGGTTTTGTACGGACGTGGTGTCTGATTTTTCTCGGGTGTATACATTGTCGTGGAGTTGCTGGGTTATTGGCAGCTACATTTTACTGTGAGGAGCTGCCATTCTTTTTTCCAGAGCAATGGCACCATTTCATGTCCCCATCTGCAGCTATGAGTTCTGAATGTCTGTGTTCTAGGCAGTATTTGTCACTGAGTTTGCGATTCCAGCTGTCCTAGTGGGTATGAAGTGGCATCTCTTTATGGTTTCAACTTGTAGTTTCTTTTCTTTTTTTAAAAAATTAATTTATGTTTTAGAAATTTTTGTCTTAGGACACAAGCACTCTCTGGAGAGAGAGAAAGAAGAGATAATGAGAGGGAAAGTGAGAAATCATCTCCTGGAAGTGATGGTCACACCGCAATCCCTTCTCCTCCATTCTCCTCCCGGGATCTTGGGCACGCACGCACATGCGCCCGGTGTGAGTTTTAAGTCACTGGGTCCAGGACTCAAATTGCAGTTGGCCATGTGGGAGTCCAGCAACATAACTGCGATGCCATCTACTGGTCCCTAATTGGTAGTTTCTTAATAACAAGTGATATTGGTCATCTTTTTATGTGCTTATTGACCATTTGTGTATCTCTGGGAGAAATGACTTCAGATCCCTTGAGCATTTCTTATTGGGTTATTTGTCTTTCTGTTGTTGAGTTGTAAGCCTTTGTTTTAAATTCTAGGTTCCTCATTACAATGTGACTTGTAAATGGTTTTTTTTTTTTCCCCATTGAGTGAGTTCTTTTCACTTTCTCAATGCTGTTCTTCATAGTGTAAAGGTTTTCCATTTTCATGAAGTCCAATTTATGTTTCGTCTTTCTTAAGGTTTAGTTAAACTTTTAGTTTATCCTGCTTTTTTCTTTTATTACTTCCATTTTTGGTGTCACAGCTAAGAATCTTTTGCTGAACCCAAGGCCATGAGGACTCCCTCTATGTCTTCCTTTGAGACAAATCACTTTTTGAATATTTGCAGTCCTTGAGAAAGCCACTTCGAGAGGGATCTGATACAGGGTTCCTTCAGTGACATCCACGTGAGCTAATTCTTTCCTGGGAAGACGGCGTGATTGTAAAAGAACAATGCAGCTCCAAGCTCTAACTTAAATGGCTGTAACTTCCACTTCAGGACAAAGCCATTCTGGGCACTTGCTTCCATTTGATCTACTCAGAGGTGGGGTGTCTGGGGAGGACCCAAGGTCCCAGCACCTGGCCTGTAATTGCCCCGTGGCCATCAGGAATCCCTGCTCGACTGCTCTTTCTGTCCATGAAATGCGGAAGCTCTGAGAATTATACAGTGGCTCCTATTAGTGCGTTGCCAGAAGCCCTGTCAGTCCACTTCAAACTGACATTTGCATTTTCAACTTCCGTTTGTCTCTGAGCTTTAGACAGGAAATTAGGTTCTAATTGATTGCACGGGAAGTGTTTTGGGCCAGGAGGCCCTGGGGAGCTGTACCGCACAGTGTACGCCTGGCTGGCCTGACAGGTGCGTGTGGGCGGGTGGGTGGGTCTGGGAGGAGCCCAGAGTTCAGCTCCTGCAGGGGCCTCTTGTCACCCTGGGAGGCTGCCGGGGGTGGGGCAGCCTGTGTCCATCAACCGCCATCAAGCTTGATGCTGGCTCTCCTTTGAGCAGGTCTGCCTGTGTCCACACGTTCTCACTGTCCTTTCCCTCTGCAGTCTGTGGCCATAAGACCCCTTCTCTGTTTGTGACCCCATGCCTGTCTCTCTTTCTTGTGGTCTAGCCGAGCAGCTGGGTGGGGTGGCTTCCCACTCCCTTCCAGCCCGAGGCTGCGTCCCAGGTGGACTCACCGTTCAACGTGTCGGGTGCCCTCCAGGCCCATTCTCTACCAGCAGCTTCTTTCTGTGCATCCTCCTCCCCGTTTATGTGTTTTGTTTCTCTTGTTCCCAAGTGTCTCGTAACCCAGGAGTCAGTCGTTACAAAAATGATTGCTACCATCTTAAAAAAGCTGGTGGATCAAACTACGTTGACAGGTTGTGTGGTTTTCCTTCTGATTTTGAGAAGGTCAATATGTAAACCCTTGACAGCCACATACTGTGTTTTGGTGTCAGTGGGCACTTGGGCCTTTTTTTTTTTTCCCCAGATTATTATTATCTTAATTCAGTGTGTATTAAAAATTACACAACCCCTCTCTCTGTCTCTCTCTCTCACACACGAACTGAAACGCAGAATCGAGTTTCGTTCCTGGCAGTAGTGAGGTGACTCAAAGCCCACTTTTTCCTCTTTGCTCTGGTTGTTTCCGAGTTGGATTGTGGTGGCTCGACATCCCCGAGTTACCACACTTGGTTACAGTTACGTAAATGGAGGATAGAGCACGAAACGGCGTCTAACACATGGTTGGCTTTCTGGTCTGTGTCACACTGGGCAGCGCTGTGTCCAGATTGCTCACTGTGGCTGTGACATTTGGTCCAACTGTCCTGCTGTGGCCCCCCCCGAGGGGTGGTGCTTGGGCTCCCGAATTGCCCTGCAGGGCCTTGGCTTGATCTTGCGCCGGGAACCCTGAATAACAAGACTCTCTTTGCTGCCGATCTCTTTAGGAAGTGATCCCCATGTACCTGGCCACCTCCCCCATCCTGTCAGAAGGAGCGTCGAGAATGGAATGCCAGCTGAAGAGGAACTCCGTAGATCGGATAAGAAGCCTGGACCCTGGCACGCCCGCCCAGGTGCTGCCTCCCAGCGAGACCCCTTCGAGTGGCTCCTTAGTGAAGAAGAGAAGAAAAAGGAGGAGAAAGTCTCAACTAGACAGCCTGAAGAGGGACGACAACACCAACACGTCGGAAGATGAAGACATGTTTCCCATAGAGATGAGCTCCGACGAGGACACGGAGCCGCTGGACAGCAGAGGGTGAGCGTCCGGACCGGAAGGGCCTACGCTCGAGTCAGCCGCGTCAATATTTTACTTAGTTCCTGGAGGACATGTGTGCTCACCTGAGGACGAGAGCGAGACAGAGAGAGAGAAAGCACCCCCAATGGAGCGTGGTCATGCACTGATCCCTTCTCCATTTTCCATCCTGTCAGGATTTGGGTTTCACACACACACATCTGGTAGGGCAGGACTCAAACCATAGCTGACCATGTGGTATTCAGCTCTCTACGCCCAGGGCTTTCCTGCTGCGGTATGGGACCAGCCCAGGATACATGAATTGTTTTAAAGAGAATTTTCAGGAATTCTTTTTTTTAAAAAAGATTTTTGTATTCTTTTGTTAAACATTTTAGACTAAACTAGAGTCATGTGGGTCCGTCTTAGAGTGGTGTGAAGATCTGATGATAAGCTTGTAACTCGGCGACAGTCGGCAATGCCAGACCTCCTGGACTGAGAACTTTGGTGGTCCAGAATAGAAATAAGAAACAAGAACTGAACAAATGAAAAGTTCATGAAGGAAACTGTTTTTTTCAGGACCTATTTATTCTTATTTGAGCACCAATGTGACTTAGTAATGGGGCTGATTTAGACGGGCAGATGTGATGTGCTTAGGGTTAAAGATGGAGGTATACACTCAGTTTTCTCTGTAAGCCAATTTTTTCCTTTTTCATTTAGACTGGGCTCAAAGTTTAATGGACTTTCAAATTGTTTTTCTCTGCCTCTTTAGTGAAATTCTGTTTGTATGTATTGCTAGTTGGTGATAAAGTACCAGTTTTGAAAGGTAAAATTAACTTTTAAGACATATTTGAGTTTTTCAGATTTTTAGGTAACTAATTTTTGATGATTTTCATATTACCATAAATAATAGATAAGGGACACTAGTAATACCCTCTGCCTTGCTACTCAGAGTAGTATATATGTATTTTTTCTGGCTAAAAGTAAAAACAAATTGGCCCTGTGGCTTTTCCTAAATAGAGTTTAATCTGTCGTAGGCTCAGATACTGAGGAGTTGGGCTTCTTTTTTTTTTTTTTTTGGTTTTTGCCATAGGGCACGTGCCTTCACTTGGGAGAGACAGTGAGAGGGAAAGTGAGAAATCATCCCCTTGGGGGGATGGCCCTCTCACAGTCCCTTCTCCTCCATTCTCCTCTTAGGATCTTGGACATGCATGCACACACATCTGGCGTGATTCTCATGTCGCCAGGTCCGGGGATCGAACCATGGTCAGCCATATGGGAGTCTAGCATCTTAACCATCATGCTACCATCTTCATTGTCTTCCCTGGCTGGCTTTTAATTCCAGAACCTCAAGATAGGCATTGTGGATAATAGAAAGACAGATGGGCTCTGCAGGAGCGAAGGAGTGAATCCTAGTTGTCATGAGCGTGACGACACCTGAAACACGGTAGTTGTTGTAGTCATTTTGTCATCTTAAGATACGTTGGGTCGATGCCCTCCATTTCTTTTTCTGGATAAAGTGTGATCTCTGTGTAAGCCATTGAGTTATCTGGCCACATCCCCTGGGCCTGGAAAGGTTTTACAACTGCCTGGGCCCGGTTGTGGCTGACCCATGGCCCAGGCTCTCTGGAGGCGATGCAGCATGTGCATCATGCATTCTAAGGCCAAACGCTGTCCGAAATCATCTTAAATATTTGAGCCAGCAAAGCTAGATATATAAGCATGTGTGCTTCCTATCTGACTTATTCTCTGCTGCCTGGAATGTGCCTGGATGTTTAAAGAAAGATCACATGAGGGCCAGTAGGTGGCATGGTGATTAAGGTGCTGGATTCCTACATGGCTGACTGCAGTTCAAGTCCTAGACCCAGTGGCTAGGAAATGACAACAAATAAATAGATAAATAAACAAATAAATGTTTAAAAAATCATGTTCCTCTGTAAAGCACTCAGAGAAAGAAATAATCAAGAAGAAATTGTAAATTGGCCTTTTTAAAAAAATGATTATTATGAAACACACATACACACAGAGGCACCATCACACCATCAACAGGGTGTCATGCATGATCTCCTCTCAGCTTTCCTAGCCAGCCAGGATCATGGGTGCGCGTGTGCATCCATGTTTGGCTTGCATAGGTTGACCCAGGAACCGAGCGCCAACCTTCGCCATGGCTCTGGGATCACAGAATGGCATCCCACTGATCTGCCACCACAGCTGGCCTGCCTGGCGTTGTCATGCATCTATCACTGGTAATTCCTTGACCTCCATCTTTCCTTCCCCAGAGCTCTTCCTAATGATATGCCTCCACTCCAAGACGATGTTCCTAAGGAAACCCTTTCGTCAGTCTCCGTGTATCCTCAGGCAGCGTCGTACTCTAACTCAGACAGAGAGTGGTCACCTAGTCCCAGGTGAGTTCCGTGTACGTGTGTACGTGTCTGTGTAGGTGTGTTTTCCTCCTCAGCCAGATGATTGGAAGTCAGTTATAGGAAACCTGTCTAAAAAAATGAAATAAAAATGAAAAAAATAAAAGCAATCAGGCTTGCAACATAGAGTGGGCAGTGGGTTGGGACGGCAGGCAGCGTGTGCGGTCAGGAACTCTGTCTAATATCAGAGTCCATCTGCAAACACGGCTCCGTGGGGACAGAGTGAGAAGAAAAAAGTAAAATACCAAAACAGACACTGCAGGCTGCCAACCTGAAGGCTCCAGAGACTTTTAAATCAGAGACACCTCTGGGAAAATGTGAGCCCTTTGGGTCATTTTCCAAAGGACTGGGAAGGAAGGCATATCTGTTCCCCTCCTGGGATGAAAATTGGTTCTTGGGTGGCAAAAAAGACATAATGGTTTGTGGTTTCCAAAGGGCCAAAGCATTAAAATTTCATGGTGAGTGGGGAGTGGGCTATTAATTTCTCAACATGTTCACGGATGTGGTGGTGATGAAAGAGGCTGAGAAACATTGACCTTGATGACAGTGACATCTTGGATTATTCTTATACCGAGCGCTTTAGATTTCCTTTGCTTAAAATGGAAGTGTGCACACCTTTAGAAGCTCTGGCATGTGCTGCAGTGGGTCCCTTTCTAAAGCCAGTCTCATCAAAACACCATCCCTGCTCCAGTTTGATCCAGGGTAATCTCATGTATGAGACGGCAGCTGTAGACACTGTGTGCTGAGGTTGAGGTTAGAGAAAAGATGGCCTCCAGCCAAGACAGATGGTAAATATTAGCTGACCAAGGTAAGGCTGGAGGTCAGTGATAAAGTCCCCTCACCGAGATCTGTCTGCCTCACAGGCCATCCTGTCCAACAGGAACAGCTGTATAGCTAATTAGATACTTTCTAGTAGCCACAAAAGTAGGAAGAGATCAAATTAACTCAAAAGATATTCTTCATTTGACCCATATTCTAGTCCATTCTGTTGCTAATAACAGAGAATACCTGAAACTGGTGTTTTATGAACTGGTGATTTATAAGATTAGAGATTTATTTAGCTCACGGTGTGGAGGCCCACGGGCCAGGGGCCGTATCTGGTGAGGGTCTTGTTGCTGGTGGATCTCATTGTGGAGGGCAGGAACATAAGCAGAGCCAGTGTGAGTCTGTCTCAGTCCCTCTCCTGATAAACCCAGCAGGACTCAGTCATGAGGCTCCACCCTGAGGCCTAATCTCTTCCTGAAGGCACCATTTTTCAACACCATAATCAGATCATGTTTCTTAACACCTGCAAAGACAACCACAGGCCAACACATGAACTTTTGGGGAACACATTCAAATCATGGCCACCCCTATATCTACCTTATTATCATTTTGGCAAGTAACTGATTAAAAAAAAATTAGTCATGAGATATTTCACATTCCTC